TTGCAGCTTGATTTTTTTTATTTGGAATAACGAAACTATTTTTTTATTTTAATAAAGTGTAATATATATTTTTTATAAATGTGATTTGTTTAGTTTTGTTAATTTATATAAAAATATATCGTATTTGTTTTTGTTTGGAATAATAGTATAAGATAAATTTAATATATAATTTTGCTTTTTTTTTTTTGGTTTTTCCTTTTAGCTTAGCCACTGTTTCTTTTCATATAAAACTTTGATTATTATAAAATTTATTATAGTTTGAGGTTGGAGTTTAGTAGCATCATTGTTTTGATATTAATTTTAAGTTTAGCGACAAGTTTATCAATTTAAAGGAATAACATTTTAATACGTTTATTTTTTTCATACAATTATATTTACTCTTTAAAAATTTATCTCTTAAGTTAATTAAGTTAAATGAAGGATTTTTATAATAATATTAAAGAATATAAAAAATGTTACGTTTTCTATTCTTTCAACTTAATAGTTAATGAATCTTTATAGTTATATATATATATATATATATATATATATATAATAAAAAAGAGAGAATTAGAGAAAATAAAAATAAAAAGTATATTTCTTTCGGAAATAATGTAATAAAATCTTTAATTAGTAAAAATTGATTAGTTGAGAGTAATGATGTCTAACATAAAACATATTAGAGTAGAGTGGAGTGAGTAGGGTGAAGTGTTTATGACAACACCCTTATCATTGGCTTTTTATTTTTACACTCCACATTATTTGTAATAAATGCTAACTCCAGTCTAAATTTAGACTATGAAAACTATAAAACTAGTCTTGAATAAAGTGCCTGCCAGCCAAATTTCTCCTCGCGCCTCCACTTTTCACAATTTCCATCCGGAGCCTTTTTCATTTTATTAAAGTTATTCATTTTTTTTTGTTTCATCTTTTCCCAAAAACTTATTTGTCACGGACACTTTTTTTTTTACAACTGAATTTGAAAATGTATCTTACTGTTTAGTTTTATTTAGGTTGAATATTGATTTTTTGCAGCTTGATTTTTTTTATTTGGAATAACGAAACTATTTTTTTATTTTAATAAAGTGTAATATATATTTTTTATAAATGTGATTTGTTTAGTTTTGTTAATTTATATAAAAATATATTGTATTTGTTTTTGTTTGGAATAATAGTATAAGATAAATTTAATATATAATTTTGCTTTTTTTTTTTTGGTTTTTCCTTTTAGCTTAGCCACTGTTTCTTTTCATATAAGATTTTGATTATTATAAAATTTATTATAGTTTGAGGTTGGAGTTTAGTAGCATCATTGTTTTGATATTAATTACATATTTTAGGTTTAGCGACAAGTTTATCAATTTAAAAGAATAACATTTTAATACGTTTATTTTTTTCATACAATTATATTTACTCTTTAAAAATTTATCTCTTAAGTTAATTAAGTTAAATGAAGGGTTTTTATAATAATATTAAAGAATATAAAAAATGTTACGTTTTCTATTCTTTCAACTTAATAGTTAATGAATCTTTATAGTAATATATATATATAATATATATATAATATATCTATATATATATATATATATATATATATATACTAAAAAGAGAGAATTAGAGAAATAAAAATAAAAAGTATATTTCTTTCGGAAAACAATGTAATAAAATCTTTAATTAGTAAAAATGATTAGTTGAGAGTAATGATGTCTAACATAAAACATATTAGAATAGAGTGGAGTGAGTAGGGTGAAGTGTTTATAACAACACCCTAAAACATATTAGAGTAGAGTGAAGTGAGTAGGATGGAGTGTTTATAACAACACCCTTATCATTTTGAACATATTTAAAATCTTAACAAAAGTTGAATACAAATAGTGGTTAACCATCCTATCAACCTTATCAATTTTCATGTCAAGTCATCACATTTTCTGTAAAGCAAAGAGTAGTATCATCATATTTTATGTAATGCATAGAATAGTATCTATTTCCAAGAAATTAACATTCACAAAAACCGACCTAGATAATTGTAATTGATTTTTCAATGCAAATACTTACCGCCCTTAAAACATAATATTTTATTATTTTCTTTGATTAAGGTTACATTATATTTATATTTATATAAACGCCTAAAAAAATATTCTTGAGATTTTTTAAATTATTATTTATGTTTGATCATTTTTGTATTACTTACTTTATACATATAACAGTTTTATAATTAAAACATTTAAAAAAAATAGATTTATTATAAAACACTAATAGGTTACAGTCTTTGTTTTGACAAAAAATAATATACAATACTCTAAATACATTTGTAGTTGCATTTCATTTTCAATTTTTATTTTCTATATTAAAAAAAAATGGATTTTCTAATATGTATCCTAAGGCACATATAAGAAATATTAATTATGAAAAATATTATCATAATTAAATTCAAAATACATTTATTATTGAGATTATTAATGCATTTTAGATTTAATTATGATAACATTCTTCATAATTAATGTATTTTACATTTAATTATGATAATATTTGTCATTAATTAAATACAATAGCAATTGGCAAGGTAATAAAGTCGTTTTTCATATATCTTCAAAGGTTAATTAAATAAATGTTAATATTAAAATTTAAAACACTAATGAATTGGTGAGATAATAGCAACGTTATACAACCAAACTAAAACTTTAGAAGTTTAAAAAAAATGGCATAATATATAGTACTATTATTAAGGTAATAAAGACGTTTTCATATAAGGTTAATTAAATAAATGATAATGTTAAAATTTAAAACACTAAATGAATTGGTGAGACAATAACAATGTTATGGTGAGACAATAAAACCGTTATATAATTTAAAAAGACAGTAGAACTTTAGAAGTTAAAAACTCGACATAATATATAGTACTATTATAATTACTTAACATTTAATTATTAGAAAATGAAAAATATGGCAGCCATTGATTATATTCTCACATTTTTTTAATATTCATAACAATAACACATTCACAGGATTCAAACTCTCTTTTCTTTTCCTTTGAGTAGAATTTGATTTCAAAAACATAAAAAGATAGAATATTGTAAATTCATTAGATATAATCTTTCTTCCCCATTTTTTATATATTCTAAAAATCGTACATTCCATCTTACTTTTACAGCCTTAAGGTCCATCTTGTCAATTTCTTATCTATTTATAATATTTATTTACTTTTCAACAGTTAATGGACCAATCTCATTTACTCTCTTCAGTGATTATATACTTTAATTTGTTTCAATACTATATTTTATGTTAAATATTATATATATCCAAGTTATGCAATAACTTTCTTTATTATTACAAATTTAATGCATAAACAATATCAAAATGATTTGTTATCACTTTTGTATGTCATATCTATCAACTTCTTAATCATCTGCTAAATTAAGATTCAGAACCATATAAACAATATATATGTAACAAAATATTCATGCCAGACATATAAAACCAACTTCTTTAAATTTGACATCTGAAATAGGAAAAAAAAAAGATATCAAACTTGAAATCTTCTTTACATTGCGTAACTGAAAAACAAAAACAAATTGGAGAATTATTGAATATTAAAAGTACACACATATATCTATAAAGTATTACAAAATACGCTTTCATTTCACTGAATATTTTTGTAAACAATCCAGATCTAGAGAAGATTTTCATAGTGGTATACATAAAGACATCTCTTTCTTTCATAAAGAAAGTTATATATGCAAAAGACTGACAATAAATCACTTAGATCTACACAGCTAAATGTAAGCTCGGAGATGAAGTTGGCGAGTGTTGTAGGCGGAGCGCGATAGTGGTGGCGATTGGTGCATGTGAGGTTGATTATGTCAATGATGGCTTGCATAACAATATGAAAGTGATGGGGCTATTAAGTATCTATGAAGATTGTGTGGTGGTTTTGTAGCATTGCAGGTGTATGTGGGGTGGTGGTGTAGTGGGTGCTAATATTGTGGTAGTGGCGGAAGTGCTAGTGGAAATGGTGGCGGCCGGTGATGGTTAGTACGGAGGAGAGTACTATGGAGTTTGGAATGCTTTTCGGTTTACAGCGGCTGGTGGTAGCAGCTGCCGCCTGATAGGTTTTTATGAGAGATTTGAAAGAATGCAAAGAAGATGTCTAAAGGTTTTCAAGGAAAATAAAGGCTTGTAAAGAATGGAAGCTCACGTCCCGTTTTAATATTATGACAAAATTTTGTATTTCCTTTAAATCTATTTTCTCATTGGTTGTTTTTAACTCACAAGAATCACCATATTATACCATTAGATGGGAAATCAATGGTTGGGATTTAAGCTCCTTAGTTTAAGACTTTGGTCTTAAACTTATTATTATGTATTATATATATATATATATATATATATATATATATATATATATATATAATATATATATATATATATATATATATATATATATATATATATATATATATATATATTCATGATGACAAAAGTGTGCATGTAGAAAGAACATATTTCATTCAAAAGAACACGTTTCTTAAATCAAATTTTAATAAGCTATAGGTTATAAATTTGTATATCAAATAGAGGACCCAGGTATCTAAAATATAATACCCGACCCTATTTAACTATAAACTTATTTGATAAGCTTTTAAATATTGATTCTAAAATACATTTCCTTTAATCAAATTGTACAAGCAATTTAAACATATGTGCAACAAATACTAAAATTTTAAAATCTTGACGATAAATTAGTTACCAAATTCATATCATTTTTGGGATTAAAACAACATAAAACTATCAAAATCAACCATAGACATCTTAAAAGTTACCTCATGCATGCATCGCATGTTCAAAGATCCTTTTTTTATATTTGTTTCAAGCCATGCCTTGCTTTCACAAAAAGCTTTTGAAACCTAAGCTTTTGCCATTTAACAAAGCAAAACCAAGAAACCAACATTACTAGAAAAGGAATAACATCATTCATTCATGCTACCACTATAAAAACAGCATCGCTAAATGCAAAATTAATCATCTTTCAGATTAATTTCCAATTGTCTCTAGTAAACAGTTCTATATATAATTGCGATGGATTCAAAGGTTGGAGGCACCCAATTGCAAAAGTTATTATCTTATGATGAATTCGAACCCATGTGCACATGGCAACGTGAGGATGGACAAGATGTACTCGTGCTCCATCTCCCAGGTATCCATCCACATATCGTTTGTTTTTCTTGCTTTTTTAAATACAATTAGGAGCAACTGATTTTATTGATTCATGTTTTCTTGATATATATTCTAATTATATATGTGTTTATATAAGAATTCAAGAAGGATCAACTAAGAATCCAGATTAGCAATACTGGGATTTTGAAGATCACTGGAGAAAATGTTGTAGATGGTAAAAGGAGAAACCGTTTTTTGAAAGAAATTAAGGTCACAAAAGATTATGACTCAAACAACATTCATGCCAAATTCTCCCAAGGTCGTCTTCGTGTTACTATGCCCAAAAAAGTTCCAACACCCACAATGATGGATTCGCCTTCTGCAGCTGCGATGGCATTGCCTCAAGATAACCAAAACGATACTATTGCCAACACAAACGGGAAAACGTCCATCATTCCTAATATAAGAGCAAGAGTAGGCAAAGTTGTGAAATCTAAAGAGTTTTCTGCAGCAATGGTGAATGTTGGCTTTGTAGTGGTCGCGGCTTTTAGCATTTATGTTGCATATAATTACTGGACTTCGTATGTACGAGTTGATGAAGATTGATTCATTGATCAAATTTCTGGTGATTAATATGTATTTGTTTATACGATGGATTGAATCGTATGAAAGAAGATGAAGTATTTAAAATTGTTATTATTATAATGTATATCGATTGAAAAGAATTATAGTGAATTGTGATCAAATTCCTCTATTTGTACTCTTTGTAACAAAAATAAAAGTATGGTTTTTAGTTTCACACAATTGTATATAACCATCTGCTTAATATAACTAATTCATAAGAGATAAACAGAACAATCATTTTTCCATGAAATTGTCTTTTTCCTCATATTCTTATCACAATCAACCATTTATACTAGTTAATTTAGTAATTAGAAATAGTGAATATGATTACAAAATATTAAAGATGGCAAAAACCATGGTACCCGATATGTGGACCCGAATCGATCAGGATGGGGCAAGTAATATATAAACTAAAAATCGGGGATGGGAAGGGGGGATGGGGATGCCAGTCGGTCCACGATCCTGACCTAATAGTTATATAATATTTATATAATAATCTGAATTTCATAGTTTAGTTTTCATTAAGAAAATAATCAAACTCAGCATGTCAACTCCTAAGAAAAGCTCAACTATTTATAGGCATTTAGGGATAGCCCCTAAAACCTTAGAAGATCAAAATACTCCCTATATAACTTAGAAACTTTAAAGACTTCACTAAACATACACAGATATCTCAAACACTAGTGTAACCCAAAAAATTGGTCAAATTTGAATGAATCTATCCATTGGACAACCTAGAGAAAAAACGACCATAAAGAGATCTCCAAATGAATTATTTCTTGCGATGGAAACTAGACTTCCAGGTCTTTCCAACCATACATTATAAAAAAAAAAAAAAATTGTCTTTAGGTTGATAAGCAATAAAAAGAAAAAAAAACATGATGCTAATAAAATTTCTTAAAAAATACCGCAAATTCAAAAATGTGAGTTATGCAAGAATTGTTTAATCAAGTTTGTGGTGATACCATACCATTTGTAACATGAGGTTGTTATTGTTTCATGAAAAAAATGAAGATTTTCCCTATTGATGTGGTCATTCTTGAATTCCATAAGTGCCATGATTTGCCCAAAAAGTTTGAGGAAGCAACATCTGAAAGAGGGGAGCAAAAGGAGGGGAGGAATAAGGAGGGTGGGTGCAGTGTGTCATTTTAATTTAATGGTAAGTATTGGTAACATAAATTGAAACTAAACAAAAAAGATAAAAGAAAATAAAAATGTTATAAAAATCTTTTTACATGGTTCAAAGCCAACCTCACAAGACATTACATTAAAACAATATGGAGCATCATAGTCAAAACAAAAACAAAACATGATTGTAAACCACAATGATCATTTATTTAATTTAGTCTTATAATAATTTAACACAATTTAAAGATGAGAAAAAAAATAAATTTAGCCAAAATCTTTAATCAGTTGTGGAGAAATATCCAAAAATTAAGAAAATGACCAAAATAATCATAAAAATCACATTTCGGCCTTCAGGAGTTGCATTTTCAGCATAATGGCATACAATTTTGCATTTATCACGTTTTCATTTTTTTTGCCAACTTTAAACCCTTGTTTCTTTCTTATATGAACTCCGGTTGACCCAATTTATTTTTCATTACGTAAAGCCTTTCCATTTATATATTACAATCAGGAAGCCCCCATTTGAAAGCTTCAAAGTAAGCCTCTAGGGCTACTGAGACATTTTTTCCAGACTTAGAAACCTACTACATATAGGATATAGATGTAACACCCGGTCCTTGCAGGTAATTCCTTTCCATATTTGTTGATGTAAGTATGGAGTGTTGATCTACGCAGGGCATAGATAGCCTTTATGCGATGTGTTGAAGGGAAAATGTGGACGAACCTTTAATGAACTACATGGGGTGTAGGTAGGAGTACGCAGGACGTACTCGGTCGAAGTCCAAACCCTAAATTCGGGGTTTTAAGCCCTATTTAAGCACCTTAACCTTCATAAACCTCTTTCATTCTCAACTTACATCCTCCAAATGACTCCCTTGAAACCCTAACCCTATATTAGTGCATCGTGAGCTTAAAAGTGTGTTTTTGGGTGCTTTTGAAGAAAGAAGAAGGTGGTGGTGGGGCTTGGAAGCTTGAATCAACCTTGGATCTAGAATTTCTTCTCCCCCATTCATCTCCAGAAGGTATAAAGTTTGTACATTTATGCCTCCATTGATACATCTAGCTTAGATGTTGAAGTTATGTCATTTTGTCCAATTATTTTGGTGCATTTGAGTATGAACGACTCTAGACTTTGTTGAGTGCATTCCCAGAAGTATTTAAGGGTATTAAGTCACAAAAATGGTGTCTTGACCATATCCAACCCTCCATGCATGAGTTTGAGATCCTTAGAAGTTGATATAAGATTAGGGTTTGTTCTTGAGCCTTAAGAAGCCATGCAAGTGCATAAAGTTTGGAACTTTATCACTTAGGACATTGATTTAGACTAAATCTGAGAGTTGGACGTGATGTCTTTCTGTATTAAGCACTTAATGGGAAGTTTGGCTTCAGCGTGAGTACGTAGGACGTACATATGGGTATGCAACACGTAGCCATGTATTGACCCGTAAAAGCCAAGCAACACTCTACGCAGGGCGTACTCAGTTTGATGTTGACCTTTGACTTTTTGCCCATTGACCGTTGACTGTGACCAAGTTTGACTTTAGGTAATTTAGGGTAATTTGAATAGTATATTGAGACTAGGTCCCTATTTATTGAAAAGGTGACCTGTAGAGACAATGTTTGGATCAGTGATCAGTCCAGCTATCTTTCAGACTGTGAGGTAAGTTTTTCTCACTATACTCGTTGGTCGAAAGGCACCAATGCCGACCCACTAGGTGATGTATCTTGGTATATAGGATGATGCTATGCTGGTTATATGTTAGACTGGTAGATCTGCATGATTACCTGTATTCACCGGTGATATGTTAGACTAGTAGTTCTGTATGATTACATGTGCTTGCTAGCTTGTGGTTATAGTTGTATATGTCGACATGTTATTGTATTGTGGGGTTGAGGCGATACTTTGTGCTGAAGGCCAAAATACCTGGGCGGTTCAGTTTATACTGTAGGCCCAAAGGAGCGGTCCAACTTATGATGTAGGCTCGGGAGCGGTCCAGCTAGTAGCTGAAAGCTCGGTGGTGGTCCAGCCTAGTGCTACATGCGTAGTTGTGTGTATTGTATTATGTTGCGGTGTGTGGTACTTTGAGGGAAACTCATTAAGCTTTGACTTACAACTTGATTTTATGGTTTAAGGTACATCAGAGGATAGGGGCAAAGTGAAGGCATGATTGTGCACATCATCCTGGAGTTTTATATGGCTTATGATTTTGGGATACTATGATTAATGTTTATGGTTTTGAGAAACTATGTTTTTATGTAACTTATGGATTTTGGAATGTTTTTTAAAATGAAAATTTTTGTCATGAATTTGGGATGTTACAATAGATCTACAAACTACATTTAGAAACCTAGTGCATATAAGCTCTAGACCTCAAGTTATGAAGTTCCAAAGTCGGATACTTAGTAATTTTTGAACTTTTCCAAAAATTGTCATTGTTCACATATGTTTCAAGTCACGCTTAGGACATAAATGATGATATTTAAGAGTAGATTACATAGATGATCATAGTTAGGACTAAATTAGTTAAAAATACAAATTAGGCTTTTTTTTCCTGTTTGTTGACAAATAATTAGAGGGTGTTTGGATAAATTAGCTTATAGCTTATAGCGGTGTGAGAAAGCAACTTTTGTAAAAGTGTTTGGATTAGTTTATAGCGGTGGGGATAAACAATAAGCTGATAAGCATTTAAGTGTTTGACAAACAAAACAGCTTATATGAGTAAAATGACTAGAAATATGTTATAAGCAATAAACAATAAACTTTAAGCAAGGGGAAAATATATGGAGGTCGTTTGATAGTTGTTAAACTTAACTTATGAAGATAAACAATAAGCTATAATCTTTTTTTTATAATCTTTTTTTTTTCTCTATCCAAACACCTGTTAATTTTTTTTTTTTTTTTTTAAATCCAATTCTCCATGGTTCAATTATATCGTTAATCTAAAACGCCTGCCTCCGACCACCCCCAGATCATCTTACAATTAGCCGAAGAAAACTTGAGCCGGTCGATGGCGTGACGCCAGTCAACATATACACCGACACCGCACGCAACCGCGTCGCCACCTCTTGACTACACGATCCGGTCGATGCTTGATTCTACAAACATTGCGACGCATATTCTCTTAATAATTAATATCACTGCGAAAAAACGCCGGCGATTGGCAATTCTGCGGCCCCAAATCCAAACGCGGCTCTACAGCCACCACAGCTACCGCCACAGTAAGTGAAGATAAAGGAAGAAGCTATAACAATATGAAAGCCCTAACAGAAGAAGCGGAAAAGGCTGGAATCGAATTGGGGAAGACGGATTTAGCACCTGGAGGGAAAAATACGACGAAGAAGAAAGTGAAGATTGTAAAGAAGATCGTGAAGAAAAAGATTATTAGAAAGGTACCAAAGCGTGTGCTAGTTGCATCCCATTGTAATGAAATAGAAAAAGTTGCGAGTCCTAACCCTAATGATAATTCTCCAATGGAATTGGAAGCTGAAGCATTTGTTTCGGTGGAAATTGAAAAGCCTAATCTTGTTGTTAACGACTCAACAGAAGTTGAGGCTATGAAGGAGTTTGAGGTTAGTAATAAGAAGGACGTTCGTTTGGTTGAAAACAATGATTGTTGCAGGGATGAAAGCCAGATGAGTGGTTTGGTATCTGCATCCCTTTTGGGTGATCAGAACCAAATTGAATTACACGATAGTGTGCATACCATCGACAACATGGATGCAGAAGAACATGCAGGCGAGGAGGGTGTGAAGGGGCAGGATGAGAAGATTTTCAAATTGGATGTTGGGGTAAGTGAGGACACAAAGGTAGAGGAAAATGTGAAGGAGCACACAGAGAGGAGTGAATGTGGTGATGCTAATGCTAACCTTGCAGGTGGTTTAAGTAATGGTGTCAAGGGAGAAGAGGACATGGAGAAGCAGGTTGACAATAGAGAACATATTGATTTGAAACTGAGTGATGCTGTTGAGCCTGAGGAGGGAATGAAGGAGGTAGTGAATAATGAAACTGATGGTTTAAAATCACAAGGTTCAAGTGAGAAACAAGTAATGAGTGGAGAAATGGTAGCATCCAGGTTGAATATGAAGCACAGGACAAAGGTTTTTATCCATGGTTTTGACAAGGAGACAAAGGAGGAAGATATTAGAAAAGTTTTTGAGGAGGTTGGGGAGGTTGTTGAAGTGAGGTTAATAACAAATTTTAGATCAGGGAAAAGCAGGGGTTGTGGCTTTATCAAGTATGCTTCAGCAGACCTTGCCAGATTGGCTCTGAACAAATACAACACTGTTGAGGTAACTCTGCTTTGTCCACTTATTATGTTGTAGATTGTTTTTTCCCTGTTTTCAGCATTTGTACATCAAGAAATCTAAAGGTCTGATCCATCATATGTACCAAAATCAATGCTATTGACATGTTTAATGATTACTGTTGCATATCTTTCTCTTAAATCTCCTCTACCTGGTTTACTGATAGTGATCTGTATAACACCATTGTCAACTGCTATAATATGAACAGCTGTTAGAGCCTGTAGTAATAAACTTACACCATGCATAGTTACATGATTGATTATAGGAGTAGTTTTTCATGAGTTAAATCCTGTAGTTTATTTGATTTATCAATAAAATAGATTCGTGGAAGACTATGTCACACAGCTGCTGTTGATGGGAGTGACACTATCTTACTCAACAACATCAACAAAAACTGGAACAATGAACATGTAAGCCAGTTTTCAATCATCAATCTTCATTGCATTTACTCCCCACACTTAACAAAATATTTAAATATAATTCCTCCATCTTTCAGGTCCTCACATTATTACATAAAGTTGGCATCAAGAACATAGATGAAGTCTCAGTTGTATCCGACCCTAAAAACCCCAACCTAAACCTAGGTTTTGCCTATCTTGAACTTGAAACAAAAAGAGATGCACAAGTCGTTTTCAATAAACTTCAAAACAAAAATATTTTCGGGGCCCACTCAAATATAAAAGTCACATGGGCCCACCTATCAGCTGATCCAGTCAAAGAAGAAATACATAACAACAACAACAATAATAATAATAATAGTAAATCTGTATATGCTGAAAATATACCTTCTACATGGGGAGAAAAGGAAGTGAAGGGCCATTTTGGAAAATTTGGTGAAATCGAAAGCATTGCACTTGCGAAAAATATCCGGTCAACTACCAGAAACGACTTTGCGTTTATTAATTACAAGAAATGTGAAGGTGCACTTTCGTGTATCGAGGCGTTGACTTGTAAAAAGTCAACGGGTGATGATGGCTTAAAGGTTTCTCTTTCAAAGTCGATGCCAAAAGTCAAACCAATCAATACCATCTCAGGGTCAGGGTCAACTGTTACCGAGGTGAAGCAAAAAGCTTACCTCAGGCCACACAACAAACCTCAAAACATGAAAATTTCAAGCATTAGCAGACATGATGAAGATGGTAGAAAAAAGGGAGAATCTTCTTCAACTACTGATGAACTTGTAAAGCTTTTGAGGGAGCAAGCATCTTGGAAGCATGGTGGACCAAGTTTGACTTTGACCCCAGGTTTTTCACTCTTTTTTAAATGCGTATGACTCATGAGTGTGACAACATGTAACATCGTATCTTTATTTTTTCAGGCATGAACCCTGGTCATCATCATCATCATCAACATCAACATCAACATCAACATCAACCCTCATTTGGATTTGGAGGAAAGCAACCGTTTACACAACAAGCGGTAATTAGTTGAATTATTTCAGAAATCAAAACACATGTAATAATCATAGTTGATATATAAAGATGTTGTGTATTCTAATAGGGAAGCAAATCATTATATCATGATCCCCAATCAATACCATATTCATACCACCAAACTCATCTTCAAATCCCTAATGCTGCTGCTGCTGCTACTACACATCCCAGGTGTGTTGCATGTTTCTTGATATAAACTTTACCTTCTTCCTTGTATTTGTATATTTTTGTGTTTTTAAGGAAAAAAAAATCTGAAATTTGACAAGAAATATGTTGTTCTGGTCTGATAGATTTACAAGCAGACCAGCAACAGATGGTGTTGCCATGCCCATGACATCGTTCCCTCATATTGATCCACAACATGCTCATTACACATCTGGTATGTTGTTATTTATCTCACTTATGGCTATATATGGTTGGATTAAATTATAACTGAATTTTTTTTTGCTTTACAGGATCATTTAATGTGAACCCTGTTCCTAGGTACTTCCAGGTATGATTCAAATTGTCTATTTCTGAAAACTTATTCTCAGTTCTCTTTTAATTAATTATCTTGCAATATTAAGTTCCATACATTTTTTGCAGACAAGAGACCAAACTACTTATCATGGAAGTAGTAGTAGCAGCAGCAGCATATATCGGCAAATGCATTAGTTGTAAGTCAATTTTTAATTTTTTTTTTGAATGTTTCATATTCGAGTTATTAATGTTAAACATTTGTTCTTGTGTTTGGTTGAAGGTATTTTTTTGACCCCATATATGGATTTTAAAGTTTAAATCCCTTCTCTGCAAATCCTTTTTGTCTCACATTTCTTAGTTCACTATTGTTTACAGGACTTGTTGGCTGCTAAGGTGTCTACAGAGTCCCCATTAGTTTTTTGGTGTTGGAAATTACATTTAAGCCCTTTGTAAATTCACCCCAACTGTAAAAAAAGTGTTTATGATGTTATACTTATAAATCTGATAAGTGGTTGTTAAGGTCTTGATATTTCAATCTTTTTTTTTTCTTGGTATTTTTATAGTTATTGTTTATCTTAAATTAATTATTTTTTATAAACAAATATGTGCGATATTAGATAATTTTTATCAATTTAGGGGGTGTTTGGAATTGCTTATATGAAATGAATCATGTTTAAGTTATTTTGTATTAGATTATTCAGTACCAAATTACAATTAACGAAAAAAAAATGTTATGATTAGCTTATGATGTACCAAAAAGGTAGTTAAGTTATTTTGTAATAGCACTTTAAATAAACAATCCTGCTTTACATCAAAAGCTTAACATAACCATGTATTTCCACTTAACAAAAATTTAACTTACTACATGTTCACAAAAGCAAAATAGAAACAAAAAATACACACCAAAAAGTAAAAGACTATTCAAGAAAAAACTCAAAACATGATACACAATAGCCAAAAACATTAATTTAGTAATAATTATAAAATATAAACCATATTAAGTTGGAAGTTCAAGTAGCAAAATTGCAGATTCTGGTTTGACTTTTTGTTTTGATCATCTTCTGTTTCTCCTAGAGGAGACAACTGTCCAGCCATCTGCATCAACAATTGGTGCTGCTGGCCTTGCTGATTCATTAAGTGTCATATCCGCCATGTTTGAAGTCGGGTCAACCCCATCTGCCATTTCCATTGACTCATCACCTGAGCTTGAGGTTGAATCTGAATCATCTTCACCACCATTCACAACCTAATTTCAAGCCCCAAAATCATCAAAATTGTAACAAACTAAGAAGAAATTTGCTTATTGCTGCAACATATATGGGAAAAAAGGAAGAGGGGTAATAAGATGAACCAACATAATACCTGCATTTGATGACTAGCAGCAGCAATTTGAGGTGCAGACTGTCTCAGTCTTTCGATTGATGCAAAATTACCTTCCAAACATTCTTCATGAATGATCATTAGATTATCTGCTATCTAATCACAAAAAAGGAAATTGAAATGTTTAAAAAACATTTTTTGATGAAATGCGAGCATACTTTGAGAAAAAGGGGTTTGCTTTACCTCTTCTATGCTACCATCATCAATCTCGGTATTAAGAGAGAGCATAAAATCATCAAGCAAATTCTCCAATTCATCAACATATAATGCCTCTGAAAAACAGAACAATGGATGTACAGTTATAGAAGAGATTTTCAGTTGCCAGTTGTATGGATTCAGATGAATTTCAGTTATAATATACATCCATATAGAACCGATCTTCATTGAAGACTGAAGACGCTGATTGTTAATTACCAGAAGGTCTGATTAGCCATTGATAGATATCAACAGCAAGTTGCTGAGCTTTCTGGCGAGTATCACGTCCACCCCATTCGTTTTGTACAGCCATCTGAAGTGCACTCCATCGACCAAGAAGCAAATCGATACCTTCTCTGAGTTGATTAACAGCCTCAGCTGTAAGCTGAGCAGGCACCACCATTGTAAGTTCGCCTACAAAACCCTAACCTCTGTTAGCATTCCAATTCTTCTAATAAGACTTCGTTCTCATTAAATTAACAAAACCGATAGTAATTAAAGTACGAATTAGTGAAGAAAATATAACACGAAATATAGCTTGAAATTACGTAAAAACCAAACTGCCTCGACAAATATACACCGATATTAGAGAACCTGGTTATCTATCGCAGAAGATTGATATAAAGAATAGAGAGAGATTTACCGATCACAAGCTGTTCGGAATTAGGTTTCTTCAGTATTGAGGATGGAAGCAGCGGCTGCCATGGCGTTTGTAAGCAAAGCGAAAGTGGGAAAGGAGCAGCGAGGAGGCCATTGGGCTATTTGGCCCAATCTCGTCAAAACCCAATCTATTAAGGCTACCAAACCCGTTAATTTTGGGCCTTGTTAATTGCTGTCGCTAAATTATTATATTACAATGGCAATGGTAACATCTAAAGGCATACCCTCAGGCCTCAACACTATTGGTATCGGGTTCTTTCCAGTTCACCTTCTTCTTCATATTAAATCACACCAAACCAAAATTAATGTATTCAAGTGCAGCCAGGAAGAGGAAATGAATTAGAAGCAAGAGAGATAGAGTGCACGGTGTGACCTCTTTTGGTAAATACCACAACAGCCAATGGTCGTGTCATGCAAGCACAACACTACCCTTAGGATGATGTGCACGGTCGTTTTCCTCCTCCAGCTCATCATCACAAGACCTTTATTGTAAGTATACCCCATGACCTAAGAAGTAAATCTTCGTTATTTATATAAACTGATTAAAAAATGTTGGAAATTATAAAAGAAGCTGGTTGGTTTTCTTTTTCATATATAGATAGGTGTCTTTAGCCTTCAAAGACTTTAGTGGCGATTAAAGGATTCGCCAAACACACACACACTTACCCAAGTTGTGGACGCGAGACGAGAGGTTTGCGAAACAGAGCGATGTCGGTGCGCTTCGCTACGGTTAGAGATAACATTAGTTCGGTAACTACATGCTTTGGTAATAGATAGGCAATGCATCTATAGAGATAGACTTCCGTCGGATAAGCAGTTCGTCGCCATCGATTGTAGGTATAAATTGGACCGAGCGTGTTCATCGGTTCAAATCCAATGGATTTATATGAAATTGGTCCAATCCAATCATCATTGGGTTTTAGATTTTGTCAACCGATCCAATCCAATTCAGTATAAAAAGCCGAACTGAACCGATCCAATTGGATGTTGGATTGGATCAGTTTTATCCATTAGATTTTTTATTGGTTTAATCTATTGGTTATCTATTATCTAACCGATTCTAATATATTTCTATCGAATACCCAAATATAACTATAATAATTAAAAATTAAAATTGCACACAAGTATGTTAAAAAAGATTAACAAAGTAACATTAACTTCAAGTCATAAACTTATTTTTTATTAAAAAATTAACAATATTAATTGGATTTAAATAATACTATCTGATATTATTAGATAAAAATGGATATCAAATTGGATATGTTTAGTTCAGTTATCCATTGGATTTTCAGGATGATCTAATAACTGATCTAATCCAATTAAATTTTCAAATTTCGCATCCGATCAAATTCAATTGTAATTGGATTTCCAATTCAATCGGTCGGTTCGTAATTGGATCGGTTAATTGTTGTACGCCCTATCGACAAGGTCAAGTTTCCGCTTGTTGTGCTTAAGCTTGGGTATTGTTATAGACCTTGAACTGCCCCATTACAGCTGAGCATGTCTTTGAAGACGAAAAGGAACCGGAACAAAAAGCAATTCCTGATTTGTAGAAACTAAGATATTTTTGAAGAAAATCAAAGGACTTATGCCTTTGTCATATTCAAAATTCTCTATCTGACCACCTCTATGATTTGTATGCCGGTCACAATTCTTATAAAGCTCTGAAAAGCATTGAAAAACGTTGGAGCTTAAATACAAGGCACACTCAAAAGTTACTAACAAATACATTGTTTCAAGTACTTAGACTTCCAAATGGTCGACACAAGATCAATCTTGGAGTAGGTGCACGAGCTTCATATGGTAGTCAACAATACGGCTACACTTTCTATCTCTCTACAAGTGCTCTTCCAAGTAGGTGCAGTTATTGTAAAGTTGTTATCCTGCTAGAAAGACTTCTCCAAGATAAGGCACAAGTATGAAGACTGCTCATTGGATGATCTATTAAAACATTTCCGAATCGAGGAGAAAACATACAACATGGATAAACGTGTTAAAGAACAAGGAATGCTTGATCATCACGATGGTCTTTGTTTGGGTGTCATAGGGTTTTGGAAACCACAAGGTATACTCCAAGTCTTAAGTCTCACATGTTTTTGGCAACCGAGGTAGAGGTAGAGGTTCTATCACATCTTTGTGCATTGATTCACGAAAGAAAAAGGACAGGAATCTGAGGTGGTTAAACCGGGTTTGTGATCCGGTTCTGAAATGTGGTTTTTATTTCTAGAGTTTAATCTATTGTTCTGTTTTTATTTTCTCTTTGCTTTGTACTTGTTGGTATCTTGCCATAACTTAATTCAATGAAAATTTTGCTTCCCGTTCACAAAAGCATAGCTAGAAGGCGTGCCCCATAAACCTATGTACATATAAAAAACTAAACAAAAGTTCTTAAAAAACTGCCTTTTTTGTGAATAAACATTAAACAGGTCTGCCAAGTATTAAATATACAATAAATATTACATTAAATACGTAAAACACTAAAACCCAAAAAAAAAAAAAAAAAAAAAAAACAGTTTTGGCAAATAAAAGAAAAGAGTGAAGTTACGAATATGATGATGCCCGCTATATAACTTTCGCCTGAGCACCAACCTAACCAGGCAACAGATTGCGACCTCAAACTTCAAATGCCCACTAAATTTCTTTCCTTTTATAAGTGTCTCTAATGCAATCGTATTTAGCAAATACACCCGATATTCGGTTTTTCTTCAACAAAATTATTTGTTCCTCTTCCTAGAGCTAGGGTTTCAACAGTTCTAAGCACAACACCACTCGTATTGCGAAATTCAGGTACTTTTCTCAATGAATTTTTATCCTATCTCATCGCATAGAACAAATTTCTTGCATTTTAGTCGAAAACCAGTTTTTATATATATGAGAAAACTAAGGATCCTTTCATTTATTATTCATAATGTTCTTGGTTTACCAACGACCGGTTGGGTTAAACACCTTCATTACTGTTGTTTGAAAATTGAATTGTTTACGCGCATTTGATGTACCTTAAAGTTTCATTTGGTTAATTATTTTTCAGAAATCGAAATGGGTAACATTTGTGTCGTGAAAAATCTAAGAATTACAGACCTAATTTAAGTTTCTCATTTGCCTCCTAAATCTTATCTCACAAACCAGCAACTAATAGAACTCCTTATTAACATATCACTCCTTGAATTCATTTTGATCTAGAAATGGCGCATCTATACAAAAGTAGACTCCAAAACTACGCACAAAAGAAGAACATTACTTTCCCTGTGTATGCTTGTGAGATGCAAGGCCCACCCCATGCTCGTCTCTTCAAAGCACGTGTCACCTTAGATGGAGCTACATTCGAAGGACCAGAATTTTGCACCACATTGAAAGATGCAGAACATGCAGCTGCTAAAGTCGCTTTCATGGCATTATCACCAGATGGAACACAAGAAGTGTGGTTCTTAAATCTTATGCTATCTCTATTTATATTTATTAGCCTTACTTCACTATTTTTAACAGTATGTGTTTTGATCCAGGATGATTGTTTATACAAGAGTCTTTTACAAGAATTGGCTCAAAAGAAGGGTCTTCTTCTTCCAGTTTATGCCACAAATCGAACTGGCCAACCTCATATGCCATGTTTCTCCTCTACAGTTGAGATAGCAGGTTAGATCCTTACAAAAAAAATTTAGTGTAAAAAAACAAAACAAATGTTTTTCTAGTTGCTATCGTCTGAAATTTTGTTACTTTAGCATATTCCCTGATCTATTGATACATTACTAAGCAGGTGAATGCTATGTGGGGCAAGAAGCACGGACTAAAAAGCAAGCAGAGATGAATGCAGCAAAGGTTGCTTTTATGGCTCTTACAGAAGGTAAACAGATCTAACATGTTATAGGTGTACAAAAGTTCCTAATTTTCCATCACACACTAGCCTTAATTGAAATTAATAATTACATGGTCTATTTTTGTTTGTGTTTTTTATCCATAGGGGGACAAAGAACAAACAATGCTGCTGTCTTTTCTGACATCCAGATTCCGGGAGCTTCTATTTCCGGATCTTCCAGCTCACAGACAGTGACAATCGATGATAAAGAATCTACCCTCGAGCAAACCACTAATAAAATGCGGACAATTTCCATTAATGACCCTCCCACTTATCCAATTGCAAAAGAACCCGAGAAACCAAAAGGTGATTTTCAAAATACATTTACTTATAAGCTTCTGATTAGAAGTATTTACTCCCCATCGTATTGTTTTTAGGATATTATGGATTGAAGAACTTAGAAGATGGACTCTATATGGCTACAGCTCCTGCAGAAGATATACAAAAGAAGCATGCAATCACCGTGGCGCCAGGTGTCATCCATCGACCTCAGCCAAAAACCACATCGAATGTTGTTGATGAAGCCAAATTGAATATCATGCGGGAAAATCTCATAACTCGAGCCAGTCAAGCTCGTGAAGGTACTTAGGCAAGCTTTCTAGGGATACAATCTGTCATGTCATGTCATGTCATGTCATGTCATGTCATGTCCTATGCTTGTTTTGAGTTTTTGTAAATATGATATTATTGTATCTTATCTTTTCAGGTTCAGGTTCAGGGTCAGGGTCAGGTTCAAATGGAAAAAGAAATCAATCTTATGTTAGGGTTGACCTTGTTAAGGACTCGGGTAGTGCAATGCCACATAAAACCAAGATTGTGATTCGAGCACATGCACAAGGCATGACGTATGAGGGTCCCATCCATGTTTCTGATGACGAGTGGGTGGCCATGAAAGTGAATGTTGAAGATGAAGTGTGATTTGGGACTATTACAGAAGGATCAAAGATGTTTGTCTAAGATCAAATTAGTGATGTAATTTCTTTGGGTTTTTGAATCATTATATCCAATCACTTTGTATTTAGGCGTAAGAGTTCTGCAGTGATATGATGAGTTAGGCAGTGATATTGTGAACCCAGGGTTAATACTTCATATATGTATGCTAGAGATTGACAATTTCAACCCATTTGCTTATGAAATGATCAATTTGGGTTGAATTCTCTTACTGGTTGAATGAGTAAAACAAATGAAAAGCTAGAAAGAAAGCATGTTGAATGAAAGTTTCCACATGGATTAGAATAGGGGAAATTAAAATTTGAAAGAATTGTAGTATTCACAAGTTTGGTTGGTGGAAAATGAACTGGGATTCTATAAAGTACTTGTTTTTTATTTTAAGTTTCAAGTACAGATAAATTTTTAATCAGTTACAACTTTT